CACACGAGACACATGAGACACACACACATGAGACACATGAGACACACACACACATGAGACACATGAGACATACACACACGAGACACATGAGACATACACACACACACGAGACACATGAGACACACACACACGACACACATGAGACATACACACAACGAGACACACACACACGAGACACATGAGACATACACACGAGACACACACACACATGAGACACATGAACACACAGACACACACACGAGACACAGAGACACACACACACGAGACACATGAGACACACACACACACACGAGACACGAGACACACACACACGAGACACACACACACGAGACACATGAGACATACACACAGACACACACACACAGTGGTGTCCAGCAGGTGGCGCTGTGTACCTTCATCTGTGAGACTCTCCATGGACAAAGTTCTGCTCCTGAAGTTTAGAGACTCTGAAGACTGAGAAAGAATCCTGCGCAGCCCCACGGCCTCGTCCCCGGCCCTGCAACACACACACAAATACACACATGTAAGTCCACACAAATACACACACACACACAAATACACACATACAAATACACACATGTAAATACACACAAATACACACACACACACAAATACACACATACAAATACACACATGTAAATACACACAAATACACACACACACACAAATACACACATACAAATACACACATGTAAATACACACAAATACACACATGTAAATACACACAAATACACACACACACACAAATACACACATACAAATACACACATGTAAATACACACAAATACACACACACACACAAATACACACATACAAATACACACATGTAAATACACACAAATACACACATGTAAATACACACAAATACACACACACACACACACACACATACAAATACACACATGTAAATACACACAAATACACACATGTAAATACACACAAATACACACATACAAATACACACATACAAATACACACAAATACACACACACACACAAATACACACATGTAAATACACACAAATACACACACACACACAAATACACACATACAAATACACACATGTAAATACACACAAATACACACATGTAAATACACACAAATACACACACACACACAAATACACACACAAATACAACACACACAAATACACACACACACACAAATACACACATGTAAATACACACAAATACACACACACACACACACAAATACACACACAAATACACACATGTACAAATACACAAATACACACATGTAATACACACAAATACACACACACACACAAATACACACACACACACACACACAAATACACACAAAATACACACAAATACACACACACACAAATACACACATACAAATACACACATGTAAATACACACAAATACACACACACACACAATACACACATACAAATACACACATGTAAATACACACAAATACACACACACACACACACACAAATACACACATACAAATACACACATGTAAATACACACAAATACACACATGTAAATACACACAAATACACACACACACACACAAATACACACACATACAAATACACACATGTAAATACACACAAATACACACATGTAAATACACACAAATACACACACACACACAAATACACACATACAAATACACACATGTAAATACACAAATACACACAAATACACACATGTAAATACACACAAATACACACACACACACACACACACACAAATACAACATACACACATGTAAATACACACAAATACACACATGTAAATACACACAAATACACACACAAATACACACATACAAATACACACATGAAATAAATACACACATGTAAATACACACAAATACATACACACACACACAACAAATAACACACACATACAAATACACACACATGTAAATACACACAAATACACACACATGTACACAAATACACACACAAATACACACACACACACACAAATACACACACACACAATACAAATACACACATACACACACATGAAAATACACACAAATACACACATGTAATACACAAAATACACACACACACACAAATACACACATGTAAATACACACAAATACACATAAAAACACACATACAAATACACACAAATACACACACAAATACACACATGTAAATACACACAAATACACACATACAAATACACACAAATACACACACACACAAATACACACATACAAATACACACATGTAAATACACACAAATACACACACACACACACAAATACACACATGTAAATACACACATGTAAATACACACATGTAAATACACACAAATACACACATGTAAATACACACAAATACACACACACACACACAAATACACACATGTAAATACACACATGTAAATACACACAAATACACACACACACAAATACACACACACAAATACACACATACAAATACACACACACACACACACACACACACAAATACACACATGTAAATACACAAATACACACACACACACACACAAATACACACACACAAATACACACACATGTAAATACACACAAATACACACACACACACAAATACACACACACACACAAATACACACACACACACAAATACACCACATACAATACACACATGTAAATACACACAAATACACACACACACACAAATACACACACACACACACAAATACACACATACAAATACACACAAATACACACACACACACAAATACACACATGTAAATACACACAAATACACACACACACACACAAATACACACATACAAATACACACAAATACACACACACACAAATACACACATACAAATACACACATGTAAATACACACAAATACACACACACACACAAATACACCCAAATACACACACACACACAAATACACACATACAAATACACACATGTAAATACACACAAATACACACACACACACAAATACACACAAATACACACACACACACAAATACACACATACAAATACACACATGTAAATACACAATACACAAATACACACACACACACAAATACACACATACAAATACACACATGTAAATACACACAAATACACACACAAATACACACAAATACACACAATACACACACAATACACACATACAATACACACACAAATACACACAAATACACACATGTAAATACACACAAATACACAACACACACAAATACACACACACACACAAATACACACAAATACACAAATACACACACATACAAATACACACATGTAAATACACACAAATACACACACACACACAAATACACACACACACACACACAAATACACACATACAAATACACACATGTAAATACACACAAATACACACACATACACAAATACACAAATACACACACACACACACACAAATACACACATACAAATACACACATGTACAATACAATACACACACAAATACACACATGTAAATACACACATGTAAATACACACACACACACACACACACAAATACACACATACACAAATACACACATGTAAATACACACAAATACACACATGTAAATACACACAAATACACACACACACACAAATACACACATGTAAATACACACAAATACACACACACACAAATACACACACATACACAAATACACACATGTAAATACACACAAATACACACACACACACAAATACACACATACAAATACACACAAATACACACACACAAATACACACATGTAAATACACACAAATACACACACACACACAAATACACACATACAAATACACACATTTAAATACACACAAATACACACATGTAAATACACACAAATACACACATACACACACAAATACACACATACAAATACACACATGTAAATACACACAAATTACACACATGTAAATACACACAAATACACACACACACACAAATACACACAAATACACACAAAATACACACATGTAAATACACACAAATACACACATGTAAATACACACACAAATACACACATGTAAATACACACAAATACACAATACACACATGTAAATACACACAAATACACACACACACACAAATACACACATACAAATACACACATGTAAATACACACAAATACACACATGTAAATACACACAAATACACACACACACACAAATACACACATACAAATACACACATGTAAATACACACAAATACACACACACACACACAAATACACACATACAAATACACACATGTAAATACACACAAATACACACACACACAAATACACACATGTAAATACACACAAATACACACATGTAAATACACACAATACACACATACACACAAATACACACATACAATACACACAATGTAAATACACACACACACAAATACACACATGTAAATACACACAAATACACACACACAAATACACACATACAAATACACACATGTAAATACACACAAATACACACATGTAAATACACACAAATACACACACACAAATACACACATACAAATACACACATGTAAATACACACAAATACACACATGTAAATACACACAAATACACACACACACACAAATACACACATGTAAATACACACAAATACACACACACACACACAAATACACACATACAAATACACACATACACACACACACACAAATACACACATGTAAATACACACAAATACACACATGTAAATACACACAAATACACACATGTAAATACACACACACACAAATACACACATGTAAATACACACAAATACACACATGTAAATACACACAAATACACACATGTAAATACACACAAATACACACACACACACGTAAATACACACAAATACACACACATGTAAATACACACAAATACACACATGTAAATACACACAAATACACACACACACACACATATAAATACACACACACACATATATAAATACGCCCCCTTGGGGACACGAGGGGGTGTCACGTCCTCCGGAGGACGCGGCGCCCCCTTGTGTCCTCCGGAGGACGCGGCGCCCCCTTGTGTCCTCCGGTGAACACGGCGTGGCCTCCAGAGGACGCGGCGCCCCCTCGTGTCCTCCGGAGGACGCGGCGCCCCCTCGTGTCCTCCGGAGGACGCGGCGCCCCCTCCTGGCCTCCCTCGTGGCCCTGCACTCACCCGGCGATGTTGTTGGTGGAGACGCTCTTGGACAGAGACAGACCCGAGCGCACGCGCTTGGACAACCTCAGGTCAGACGGGTAAATCGCAGACGCCGGACGCTCCTTCAACATCTGACCTACAGAGGGCAGGAGAGAGGGATGTCACACATGTGGCCAGGAGAGTGGGACGGAGGAGGAGAGAGGAAGGAGAGAGGAGGAGGAGGAGAGGAGGGGAGAGGAGGAGAGGAGAGGAGAGGAGGAGAGAGAGGAGAGAGGGAAGAGGAGGAGAGAGGGACGGAGAGGAGGAGGAGAGAGAGGAGAAGGAGAGAGGGAAGAGAAGGAGAGGAGGAGAGAGGAGGAGAGAGGGAGAGAGGAGGAGAGAGGAGGAGGAGAGAGGAGAGGAGAGAGGAGGAGAGAGAGAGGAGAGGAGAGAGGAGGAGAGAGGAGAGAGAGGGAGAGGAGGAGGAGAGGAGGAGGAGAGGAGGAGAGGAGGAGAGGGAGAGGAGGAGAGGAGGAGAGAGGAGAGGAGGAGGAGGGAGAGGAGGAGAGAGAGGAGGAGAGAGAGAGGAGGAGAGAGAGGAGAGAGGAGGAGAGAGAGAGAGAGAGAGAGGAGAGAGAGAGGAGAGAGGAGGAGAGAGAGGAAGAGAGAGGAGAGAGGAGAGGAGGAGAGAGGAGAGAGGAGGAGAGAGGAGAGAGAGGAGGAGAGAGAGGAGAGAGGAGAGAGGAGAGAGGAGGAGAGAGGAAGAGAGGAGAGAGGAGGGAGAGGAGGAGAGAGGAGGAGAGGAGGAAGAGAGAGAGAGGGAGAGGAGGAGGAGGAGAGGAGAGAGAGGAGGAGAGAGGAGAGAGAGAGAGGAGAGAGAGAGGAGGAGAGAGGAGAGAGAGGAGGAGAGAGGAGGAGAGGAGAGGAGGAGAGGAGGAGAGAGAGGAGGAGAGAGGAGGAGAGAGAGAGAGGAGAGAGGAGAGAGGGAGGAGAGGAGGAGAGAGGAGGAGAGGAGGAGGAGGAGGAGAGAGGAGGAGGAGGAGGAGAGGAGAGAGGAGAGGAGAGAGAGGAGAGAGGAGGAGAGAGAGAGGAGAGAGGAGAGAGGAGAGAGGAGAGGAGGAGAGAGGGAGGAGGAGAGAGAGAGGAGAGAGGAGGAGAGAGGAGGAGGAGAGAGGAGAGGAGGAGAGGAGAGGAGAGAGGGAGAGGAGGAGGAGAGGTGAGGAGAGAGAGAGGAGGAGGAGAGGAGGAGAGGAGGAGGAGAGAGGAGGAGGAGGAGGAGGAGAGAGGGAGGAGAGAGGAGAGAGAGAGGAGAGGAGGAGAGAGGAGGAGGAGGAGAGAGGAGGAGAGAGAGAGGAGGAGAGAGGAGGGAGAGAGAGAGAGAGAGGAGGGAGAGAGGAGAGGAGAGAGGAGGAGAGAGGAGGAGAGAGGAGAGAAGCTGAGCGGAGGAGAGAGGAGGAGAGGAGGAGAGAGGAGGAGGAGAGGAGGAGGAGGAGGAGAGAGGAGGAGAGAGGAGGAGGAGGAGGAGAGAGAGGAGGAGGAGAGGAGGAGAGAGGGAGAGAGGAGGAGAGAGGAGGAGGAGGGAGAGAGGAGGAGAGAGGAGAGAGAGGAGGAGGAGAGAGGAGGAGAGAGGAGGAGGAGAGGAGGAGGAGGAGGAGAGGAGGAGAGGAGGAGAGAGAGGAGAGGAGGAGAGGAGGAGGAGAGAGGAGGAGAGGAGGAGAGGGGGAAGAGGAGGAGAGGACATGTGACTGACTTTTGGTTCTCATGGAGACGGTCTGAAGAGCTGAACTGTTCCTAGACAACGTCAACTTTGTCTGCTGCAAAAACAAACACACAAACAAACCATTAAAGTCCTGGACCAGTCCTGGTCTAGACCTGGTCTGGTCCTGTTTAGTTCTGGTATAGTCCTGGTCCAGTCCTGGTCCAGTCCTGGTTTAGTCCTGGGTTAGTCCTGGTCTTACCTTCTGCTTCATCTTGGTGCAGCAGGGCAGACTGTCTCTGCAGCGGTTGTGGATTGTCACGTTACATCCTAAAAAACACAAATGAGAACATCTATGATACACACACACATATGACCTGGGTCTGGTCTAGTCCTGGTCTAGTCCTGGTCTAGTCCTGGTCTAGTCCTGGTCTAGTCCTGGTTCTGGTGAGTTAGAGCTGAACAGGGAGTGAGCCAGGCTTTTAATTTGGCAGAGTCCTTAGAGGAAGTGAAACCACAAACACAGCCCCTCCCAAAACCCTAACCTATTTTGGGTCCTGGTCTGGTCCTGGTCTGGTCCTGGTCTGGTCCTGGTCTGGTCCTGGTCATGTCTGTGATTTAACCAGAGACCCACAAAGAGGAGTTGGGGGTAGGATGTAGGAGTTAGGAGGTAAGATGTAGGAGTTAGGAGGTAAGATGTAGG